CACACACACACACACACACACACACACACACACACACCCAGAGTTACTCAGATACACACAGACGTGCACACACTCATACATCCAGAGTCACTCACAGACAGATACACAGATAGACACACAAACACACACAGGTGTGCATACATATCCATACCCAGGTCACTCAGACAGACATACACACATACGTGTAGACACTCACATGCCTAGAATCAGCTCATCCTGGGAGATGGCCAGGGGGGACTCCCAAACCCTGAGCTCAGGCAGGCCAAGTGATCTGGCCAAGGCCACGCAGTGTATTCATTCATGTCCAGGCAGGGAACCCAGGCGGGCCTCCCAGGCAGGGCAGTTCTGTGAGAGATCCCAAGTAGGGGGTCTAACTCAGTACCTAGCACACACGAGGCCCCCATTCAACCCCAGACAGGGAGGAGTCAGTGGTGGAGCAGAGCTCGGAGCTCTGCATCTACACTGCACGTGCACCCACACATATACATAATTGCACATAGAGTCACCCCGATAAATAATCACGTGCCATCCTGCAAGTTGTCTTCCCTCCGCGTCAACCCCCTCCCTCACCTCCTTTGCCTTGCTCATACCCACTCATCCTTCACATCTCAGCCCAGACATCCCCTCCTCCAGGAAGCCTTCTCTGACACCCCACTGGCCCAGCTGGGCAAGTCTTCTGGGCTCCCACAGTTCCCCGTGCCTCCGACCCCTCTGCCTGTGCTCCCTCCGCTTTCTGGCAACAGGTCCATCTCTCCCACTGGGAACTCCAGGAGGACAGACCTGCTTCCGTTGTGTTTCCAACACCCAACACGAAAGTGCTCAATAAATACACATTGCTGAAGGGCCACAGGGATACCTGCACATACACTGATGCGCGTAGGATGGCACATGCCAAATCAAGACCCATCCCCACGGACACTCGCAAATGTGACACAAGGCGACAGTCATGCTTACATGGCCGCAAATGAAACAATCACCAAGTACTGACGCTTGCTGTGTTCCAGGCACCGTGTTAAGCATTTACACGTATTACCTCGTTTAACTCTCCCGTCAGCACTGCTGAGAGAGATAGCTATCATTATGCAGAGATAGACACATTTCACCAAAGGAGCCAACAAATACAAATCACCTTGTAGGGTGCCCGGCACACAACATTCACTCAGTCAGCTGACACATGATACATTTTTGCGTGGTGATAAGTGCCATAAAGAAAAGACAGAGCAAGGGGCGCCTGGGTGGCGCAGTCGGTTAAGCGTCCGACTTCAGCCAGGTCACGATCTCGCAGTCCGTGAGTTCGAGCCCCGCGTCGGGCTCTGGGCTGATGGCTCAGAGCCTGAAGCCTGTTTCCGATTCTGTGTCTCCCTCTCTCTCTGCCCCTCGCCCGTTCATGCTCTGTCTCTCTCTGTCCCAAAAATAAATAAACGTTGAAAAAAAAAATTAAAAAAAAAAAAAAAAAAAGGAAAAAGACAGAGCAGGGCAAGGGGTCCGAGAATGGTGGGATTGGTTGCCAAGTCAGACGGGGAGATCAGGGAAGGCCTCCCTGAGGAGGTGATATCTGGACAAATGAAGTGAGGCAGTGAGCCAAGAGGTCATTGCCAAGGCTAGCCCACAGTGCCACACACAACAGACCCTCACACACAGACACATGAGTCACACTCAGAGGACTCAGAACCACCACTCACATATACACGCACAGAAACGCACATACCAAAAGCCCTGCAGCTCAGTGTTCCCAGCCCTTCGCAGCCCTCACCCACTGGTCCTCCTTATAAGAGCCTGCTACCAACACTGGGCTCCATCCTCCCTCCCCTAGCCCTCAGAACACTGCAGCGGAGATAGGTGGGGGGGAGGACAGAAGCCCCCAGGTGTCTGGAGTGGAAGGGAAGGGGAAAGAAGAGCTGAGGGCGGGGACCCAGGGTGGGAGCGGGGGAGCTGTTGAGGTACAGAGCGAAAGTGCAGAGGAGACAGCTAAGGAGGAAGGGCAGGGCCGGCAGCGGGTGCTGGCCCCAGGCCCCTTACCTGGAGCCCCCATGCTGGAGTGAACCGTGCTGCCCGCCCCGCAGGGCTGGGGGAACAACTGTGTCATCTCCCCGCCCTCTCTGGGGGCCAAGCCCTCTCAGCCGGAAGTCACCCAGGGAGGAAACCACAGGGTCCGCCCCCTTCAGAAGGGAAAATACTCTGGCCCCCAGGCCCACCTCAGGAGGCGGTGGACCCCAAATCATGTGTGTGTTGGGGCAGTGGGGGTAGTGGGGTGGAGGGCAACAGGCTCGAGGAGCTGAATCCTCCCACTGGGTCTCCAGGAGGTTCCTGCAACAGCTGCCCCAGCCCTTCAGCGGCCTCCACCAGGGCAAACACATCTGGAACAGGGCATGTGGGTCTGGGAGAAAGGGTGGGCCCATAACAACAACAACAACAACAACAACAACAACAACAACAACAACAACACTAAACCCTGGCTAGAAGTTTTTTGGGGTCTTTCCCAATGCCAGACTTGACAGGTGCACCTGACAGGCATCATCTCTTGAGATGATCACTATTTGCCCCATTTTACAGACGAAAAGATTGAGGACCTGAGAGCTGAGGTGGCTTCCCCAAGGGCCCAGAGCCAAGAAGCATTGAAGCCAAGAAGCACAGCAAGTGACGTTCGCGGTGGGTGTCCCGCAAGGCTGTGGAAAGGGAGGTACCCAGCCACGCACCTGTCCGCAGGTGAGGCGTCCGTCCACTGAGAAGGAAGCGGTGCCCTGGGACAGTGGCTGTGAGGGCGAAGGGGAGGGGCCGCTTGGCCCAGAGTGGCAAGATGTCCACCAGGGGCAAATGCGGGCGCCCCAGGCGGTTTGGGCGAGGGGAGCCCCGGGTCCCCTGACAGACTGCCCGCTGGCCCTTCACGGAACTGCGCTCCCCGCCCAGCATTTCCCTCCGCGCCCGCCAGAGGGCGGCAGCGCCCAGCCAATAGGCCGGAGGGAGGGGCCGGCTGCGGAGGAGGAAGCCCCTCCCTCCGCTCCCCTCCCCGCCCCCCCACCCCCACCCCTGCGCGCACACCTGCGAGGGTCACACAAAGGCGCAGGACTCCCAGCGCACGGCGGCGCAGACAAAGGCGCGGCCGAGCCCGCTGCCCTCTTCCTCTTCCCCGCGCCCGGTCCGAGGCTGTCAGGCCACCTGGCGCCTCCAAACAGGCCGCCTGTCCCCCCTGGGCCCCGCGAGACTCGCCGCGCCCCACGCTGGAGGAGGACTCCCAAGCCACACGCACACACGGACGCTTGGACTCACCCAAACGTATACATACACTCAAGTATTTCTACACATGAGCCCCGGCACTTCACACACATGTGTCCACGCGCAGACACACGGGAACCCTCCTCTGTGTGCCTAGGCTCCCTACCCAACATCCCTAACTCTTGTGTACAGAAACCCCTGGGCACCCTCCTGTGGGCACGAGGGCATATCTACACATGTGTGCTCAGGCACGCCTCCTGGCCACGTGTGCCCACATTCACACCCATGCACACTAACTCGGGATATATAACACACAGGCAGACCTTCCCCGGTGCCCTTCCTTCTGCACACAGTCCCTGTGCATCCAGACACACCCAAGCGGGCAGGCCCACTCAAGGGTAATGACCAGTGTTTTTCACATCTGTACACAGAGGGGCCAGTTCCCAACTACCGACACTCCACAACACCCCGTATCGTAAAGACCGTTTCGCTGAGGAGATCCACAGACCACACGACATCAACCCAGCTTCAACTCAGACCTCCTGCCTCCTGGTCCACCCCTCTCTGTCTTTCAGATGCAGGGTTTCTGTGCACAAGGGCCTTCCCGATAGCGGTCTGGCAGCAGTGGGGTACCGGAGCCTCATCTTGAAGCTGCATTTGCACAGCAGGTTTTGTTTGGATTTGGGATTTATGTCTTGAGGAGGTTGGAAATGATGTTATAAGGACATTATGGGGGGCCAAAACCTCACCAAGCCACCCCCATACTCCGCCACAGACACAGTCAATGTCATCGATGTCAGGTACGTGCTTTCTGGACACGACTGGGTGTCAGCCCCTTATGGTGAGCATGAAAAGAAGCACCACCCGTTTCGGGCACTGCCTTCCCAGGTCTGTAGCTGAGTGGGGGAGCCAGGAAAGGGCTCAAGCACTCCCCCTTGGGATGAAATCGCCCTACCCCTCTTGCCTCCCAGGCTGACTGAGTCCCTGACTTGGAGTCAGGGAGTCCAATGAGAATGGGTCTGAGATGTCTGCCTGGTGGGAGAGGACAGAGGGGCAGCGTTTGGGCCCACTGGGTGGGGAGGCCCTGGCAGCCAGGAATGGGAGGCCCAGGCAGGGCAGATAGTGGCCTCTCGGCCAGAGAAGAGGCCTCCAGCCATGTTGAGCGAGGCAGGTAGGGTGTGGGAGCTGGGGAGCAGTGGGGGGCCTCTCGGGGTGCAGGGAGCCTGGGAGGGAGGCAGCGCAGGGGAGGCCAGGCTGGGCTCAGGGCTGAGCGGTAATTAAAGGAGACGTAGGGGGCTCCCCAGGGCCAGCGGGGCTGGTAACTGACACGCGGGCCCCATTGCTCTGCTCATATTTCTCACCGGATCGATACGTTTGACTCCCGACAAGACAATAATCGCTTGTACGCGGCCGGCGAGTCGATCAAATACATTATTAGAGCGAGGTCCCCCGGGGGCCCGGCGGGGAGTGGTAGGGGGGGAGCAGCCAGCCCACCGGGGACAGCAGAGCGGGATTCTTCACCCCTCAGGGCCCCCAGCCATGGCCTCTTCCTCTCTGTCGCCCCTGGGGACCCTCTCTGTGGCTTGGTTCCCTGGCTTCTTTCGGGATTCCCGCTGTCTCTGGCGACCTCTCTACTCAGCCCCCAACACATCCCTGCTCTGCGTGGGGACCCAAGGGGTCTTTCTCCACAAGTGCTGCCTCATCTGTAGGGCTCAGTGTGTGGGAGCTCAGAGAGGCCCCTCCGACCCCCAGCTTAGCAGGAAACAGGGAGACTGGGTTGCAGGCCACACTGAGTCAACAGCTGGGCCGGGAGAGGAACTGGTGATTCATTGACACCAACCTTCCTCTGCATCTCAGCACATCGGCCTTCAAAAGAGACCAGGCCAGGGCAGCCTCTGGGGGCAGGGGGGTGTCAGGCAAAGCTGGCTTAGGGACCCAAACACATAGGAAAACAAGATGAGGCGTGGCAGACAGACACAGAGACAGAGGGGTGTTTGGCTAGTCCTGCTGCAGGGTCATGCCATCCTCCAGTGCACCCCAGCTACTCTCAGACCAAACCTAGCTTTGGTCTGCCCTGGGCACTGCTTGCCCACCTCTTCCCCCACCTTCCTGGTTTCTGGGCTTGAGCCTTCATTTCCTGTTCACCCTTGGCCTTGCCCTCAAAACTGCTTCTCCAGTGCCCCTAAGTCAAGGTCAAGCTGCAGCCACCCTATGATCTGCTTAGGAGCACCCAGCATCCAGGGACTTAAAATATTTCTCCTTTGCTGCCTTCATCATCATCGTCATCGTCATCATCAATCATCATTACCAACAGCAGCAGCAGCAGCAGTGTCACTGTCTATTCTGTGCTACTTGAGCCAATACAGCGGTTCCCATCTTCACGACAATCTGAGGAAGTAAGGTCTATTATCATCCCCATTTTACTGATGAATTGGAGCTCAGAGAGGTGAAGTCACTTGCCACACGTCACACAGCGTGTGAGTGGTAGAGTCAGGAATCAAACCCAGACCTGTCCTCCTCACAAACAACATGGCAGCAAACAACACAGCCATTCCAGGAGCGGAAGGGAGGCACGATTGGCTGGTACAGACTGAACAAGGAAGATATAGGAGACAAGGTGGGGAGGCAGGGCCACACCCCAGGGCCTTGCAGGCCAGGTGAGCATTTTGGATTTTACTGCAAGCACAGTGAGATGCCACTGAGGGGGTCTTGAGCAGGGAAGTGATGTGGCTCTGTAAATGTTTTTGTGGATGATTCGGGCTGCTGTGGGAGGTTGGCCGTGGGGAAATGGGTGGTGCCCACATGAGATGGAGGGGATAATGGCTGGGACCAGCGTGGTGGCAGTGGGGGAGGAAAGGAACAGGTGTCCCTAGAAGCAATTTTGAGAGTAGACCCCACGAAATTGGTGATTTGCTGAAGGTGGGGTGGGGGGGGGGAGGAGGGAGGAGTCAAGAATGAAACCCAGGAGCACAGGAGTACCTTTCCTACCGCAGAAAGGTTGGAGAGGAGGCAGAGCTCAAGCTGGGATGAGAAAGATTTGGCCAGGGCACCATACGTGCCTTAGCTGGATTTGATGTTGTAGGTGGGAGACTTTTGAGCAGGAATAGTGTGTGTAAGAGAGATCCACAGCATGAGGACAGGCTAGCGGTGGAATCTAGAGGTAGGATTAACAGAGAGGAGGCTGGGACAAAGACCCAGATGACAGGGAGGCTGAGGCCATGAGGGTCCACTTTCACATGAGATTCTACAGGACTCTAGTGGGCCTGCAAGTGGAAGACTGGGCAAGTGCCTGGGTCACAGATGGATAGTGGGAGGGAAGATGCTCAGGTCAGTGCTGGGGACAAGATCAGGAAGCAGCTCTTGGAAGCAGTAAGTCCATGGACTGAGAAGTCAGCAGATGCTTAATAAATTCACATTGACACAACATTTCTTGTCGCACCACCTCCAGCCTCCTGACACCAATTTCCCAAACCTGCCGGAATTCCCAGGAGTTCACCTCAACTGAGAAGGAATTGAGAAGCACTGTGATATGACTTAAAGAAGATAAAAGTCACAAGACCAAGCAGATCCCCCATTCTAACCTGGCCATTTGGTGGCCTAGGGCAGCCCCTGGCACACTCTGGGCCTCAGTTTCCCCATCTCTAGGTGGGAGGTGTGCTGAAGGAGCTCGCAAAAGCTTCTTCCAGCTCTAACATTCTGTGCTTGAAAGAAACAAGAATGGGCAAGATAGTCTGATGGATCAATTAGCTACACAACAAATATAGGAAGAGAGAGGGAATGTATTGCAGCTTATTCTAAGAAGGACCTAGTTGACTATACTCAGGATTTCACTGACTCCTCGCCTTTTATCAGGGACTTTTGTTATCCCCATTTTAAAGAAATCAGGGAAAGTGAGGGCCACAGTCACAGCTAGGCCGGGGCACACCCACAGTCTCCCTGATCCCAAAGCCTGTGCCTAAACTGCTGTGCTGAGCTCACTGCTCCTCCTCTTGGCTTGCATATGTCTCTCAGATTGTAGGTCCCCTGAGAACAGGGTCCTTGGCATCCATCAACACCTATCCACCAGGGCTTCCAAGGAAGCTAAAGAAACAGGTGCCTGGCCCTGGGCCTTCCCCTGACAAGGCACCGCCCTTGACCCAGGAGCCCACCCCCACCCCCATGCTGTCCACACCAATCCAGCCCAGACTTCCCACTCTTCCAGCATGACCGCAGGTGGGAAGCCACTGACAGTCCCACGTGCAGGGAGGGAGCTGTCCAAAGGCTGAAGCACAAAGGCCATCGTCCTTTGGTCTAGGAGCCCTCCAATAACTCCCCTCTGCCCCTCAGACAAGCCCGGTCCCTGCACCATCAAGGCCTCCAGGGCCCTGAAAGACTTCACCTCTCCCCATGGAGAGCACTGCACCCCAGCCACACTGGAAGAAGCCAAGTCTGTCCCCACCTTGGGGCCTTTGACCTTGCTGACCCCTCCCCTAGAATGCTGTTCCCATCTCTTTCCATTCCTCTTGTCCCTGAGAACTCAACTCAAAGGCTGCCTCCTCCGAGGGGCCCTCCCTTACTCTGTCTGCCTTCCATCACCTGGTTTCATTTTCATTGTAGCACTCTCTAGAACTCAATTACTGTCAACTTGTTTTACTGTCTGGTTACCCCTGTGAAATGTAAGCTCTCTGAAAGCAGGTGTCTTTTTTTTTTTTTTTTTT